TTGGGGAAAATGTCAGAAAAATGATAAATGATAAGTAAACTTTATAATGCCAAAAGCATCGCCTGAATTTGAAAAATTCCAATCGAGTCGCAAGTAACTAATTTGATATATATAAATTTATTGAAATGACTATATTACTTTTTATTTTATTATTGTTTTTCAAAAACTAAAGCCCCCCACTCGCCGGTAAGTCGTCGGAACTCTAGCACTAGCAGTAGCGGCTGTTGCTGGAACTCTAATGACTGGCTGACAATTGGTCGCCGGAGTTCCAACAACTGAAAACAATCTTTTAAAAATTTTTTACAATTTTAATATAACGGTTAACGGCTTTTGTAATGTTATTAACAACTTCAATATAGCATTTAACAACAGGTTTTTTTAAAAATTAAAAAATAGCATTTTTATAACTTTAACAACTACTTTTACTTTTTAAAAATTTTTACAACTTCAGTATAACAATTAACAACTTTTGTAATGCTATTAACAATTTTGGTATAGCAGTTAACAACAAGCTTTTCAAAAAATTCAAAAAGTAGCATTTTTACAACTTGCTAGGCTAAAGATGCTAATAGTGTCACAAAAGTTGTTAACCGTTACATTGAAGTTATAAGATTTTTTTTAAAAAAAGTAGTTCATAAAGTTGCAAAAATGCCTTTTTTTTAAAATTTTTAAGAAAACTTGTTGTTAAATACTATACTAAAATTGTTAATAGAGTTACGGAACTTATTAACAATGTTACTAAGATTGTAAAAATGCTACTTTTTGAATTTTTTGAAAAACCTGTTGTTAACTGCTATACTGAAGTTGTTAATAACGTTACATAAATTGTTAACTGTTATACTGAAATTATAAAAATTTTCCAAAAAAAAAATAGTTTCTAAAGTTGTAAAAATGCCAATTTTTTGAATTTAAAAAAAAACCTGTTGTTAAATACTATACCAAAATTATTAATAGAATTATGGAACTTGTTAACGGCATTATTGAAGTTGTAAAAATGCTACTTTTTGAATTTTTTGAAAAACCTGTTGTTAACTGTTATATTGAAGTTGTTAATAACATTACAGAAGTTGTTAACTGTTATACTGAAATTGTAAAAAAATAAATAAAAAAATAGTTTCTAAAGTTGTAAAAATACCATTTTTTTGAATTTTTAAAAAAACCTGTTGTTAAATGCTATGCAAAAGTTGTTAATAGAGTTACGGAACTTGTTAATGACATTACTGAAGTTGTAAAAATGTTACTTTTTGAATTTTCCGAAAAACTTGTTGTTAGCTGTTATACTAATAGCGTTACAAAAGTTATTAACAGTTATATTGAAATTGTAAAAATTTTCAAAAAAAATTATTTCCAACTGCCAGAACTCCGGTGATATTGAATTTCTCAGAAAACCTGTTGTTAACTTCTATACTGAAATTGTTAATAGCGTTATAAAAATTGTTAATCGTTTTATACTAAAGTTGTAAAAAAATTTTAAAAAAATTATTTCCAACTGCCAAAGCTTTAGTGACCAATTACTGGCCGGTTGCCAGAGCTCTGGCAATAGTCGCCGCTGTCAGTGCTGGAGCCCCGGTGACCGACTGTCCAGTGAGGACTTTGGTTTTTTAAAAAATAATAAATAAAATAAAGATAATATGGTCATTTCAGCAAATTCATAGATGTCAAATTAGTTACTTGTGACTAAATTGGGATTTTTCAAATTCAGGTAATATTTTTCGTATTATGAAATTTACTTGTCATTTTTTGGTCATTTTTTCTAATAATTTCTCTTCCCTCCAAAAAAATCCTGATTTTAAAGGGTTGAGGGAGGAATGGAAGGGTACAAAAAAGGACAAAAACTTTTCCCTCCCCTCCCCCCCTTTTTTTTTTTAACCAGCCAGCTTCAACCTTTCTTTTTTCCTCCCTTCCCCATCCCTGTCCTCAAAAAATCCCCGACCAAACACCACGTAAGTCTAAAAATCCCTGAAGAAAACTGTAGTGACAAGAACTATGAAGCCAAATTAGTGCGAAAATTTGTTAGTTTGGTGAGGCACAGAGGCAATCCTAGAATGAGGAGTTGCGTTCAGTCCATTATATCAAAGGGGTATTTGGATAGAATCATACCATGGTTTGAAAAATAGCTTCTAGAAAATAGATTTTTGGGAGAATAGATTTTATGATAAAGTGATTCTGATAAAGTAAGAGTGTTTAGATAGTTGTTATCAGAAATACTTTTTATATGTAAAAATTATTTAAAAAGGCATAAGTTAATATGATAGTTACATAAAAGATAGATTTTATAATATTTTTAATTTGAAGAAGTAAATTTGTTAATAATATTTTTTTTACCAACATAATTAATAATATATAAAGAATGTAATTAATAAATAATTAATATATGTATATATTTATAAAATATAAGATTAAATATGTTTATAGAAAAATGATTATTTTGTCTTATATTATTATGGGGGTGTTTTGACAAAATTGAATAAGCACACATTAAAACAATTTATTACTTATTAAAGTAATTAATAATTGTTATAAAAATATAAGGCATAAAACATTTTATATATAAACCCACAAGAGCACCACCAAGGACAGTCTATTGAACAAGCAAGAAAAAGCGAGGATTTGATTTCAATCGAGGGGCTTTTTTGTCTACATCACATTGCCCACCTTCTGACATTGACATTAGTTGTCCAACAATTGAAATTTAAGCCTCAGAAGTGAAACGTTTTTGCTTTGTACAGAACTATAGTTTTAGAGGCTAAAACCATGATTTCTGCCCCAAACCATGATTTTCCAAAATATCACGGTGTTTGGATGGTTCTAGGTCCAAACCATGGTTTGGCCTTTAGAAGCACTTTTACATGATTTGCCAAACACTCCCACAAAGCTAGGGCTTGCTTCAATGGAAAAAACCTCACAGGCGGCGACTTTGGGCTAGAGCTGGTAGCTGGTAATACAGGCTGGCGGCGCGAATACAACCCTGCCCGCGGCGGTGCTAGCTGAAATTGGATTTAGAGTTTAAAACCTGAGTAGTGGGTTATAACAAAATAATGTGAGGATTTATTTATAATTTGAGAAGATATTTTAGAAAAATTAACACTTATTTTTTCTAAATAATTAATTTGAGTATTTTTCTTATCCAAATTAATTAAGTAGATCTTTTATGTGTGTATTACATATGCAATTACATGATCGAGGAGATGTAAATGTGAAATTTGAAGGTCAAAATCCCCTAATTATGTTGTATAATATATTGAGAATTGTATAAAAATAAAAATTAAAAAAAAAACGCACTAGCCTGCCAACCCGGGCTGAAAACGGTGCGGGCTGGAGTAGCTCACACCTTGGCCATCATTTTTGGTAGGTTGGCAGGCTGGGTTACCAGCTCTACTTTGGGCGCCATAACTAGAGCCGGTAATATGGGTTGAGCCCGCAGGCTCAACCCACCAACCCGCCAACAAGTGGCGGGTTGGGTTGATAAAAATTAGGACCGTTTTAAAATGGAAGTTTTGAGCCCATAACCGCCAAACCCAAACCCGCGGCGGGCTAACCCGCAGGGTTGGTGGGCCAACCCGTTTAACCATTTTTTTTTTGTGGCAAATTTTTCCCTTTGCCTCTTAATCTCTACACTCTTAGTCTAGTCCACAGTGCAACAGTGAGCAGTCCATGTCCAATAGTCTAACACGGCAACACCAACACGGTCCCATTTTCACATTTTGCTTGCGTGTTGCACTCCTTCTAGACTCCCAACTCTCCTAGACCCAGTCTCCTAGTCGCCCTCGGCCAGTCCTAACTCCCAAGTCCCAAGCCCCAAGCCCCAAGCTCTCTGCTCTTTGTCTTTGCTTTGCGCCTTTGCCCTAGCTCATGAGTGATGATTGAGCACTTGATAGTTGATACTTGATAGTGATTTGTGTAGTGACATTGTGTTTGTGACTTTGTGGTAGTGTTAATTTGGATTTATGTTTTAATTTGAGATGTTTGTTAAATTATTAAGGACATATCATGTTCATTTAATCATATGTTTAATATTTTGATATATTTGAAACTTGAAACTTGGAACTTTGGATGGGTTCCATGTTTTATTTATGATAATTTCTATTTGCATGTTTTATTTTAGGTAGTTAGGAATTTGAGACTTTGAGTAGGTTTTATTTAAAAAAAAAGTAAAAAAAAAAAAACAAAATTTGGCGGGTTGGCGGGCCTAACCCGCCAACCCACCCTCGTGGGCCGGGTTGAAAAAATTTCAGCCCGTCAGAAAGCGGTCCTAAAAAGCCCAGCCCGCCAAGCTTCAAACCCGCCACGGGCCAACCCATAATCGGCGGGTTGGCCCATATTACCGGCTCTAGCCATAACCCATGGCAATGAAGAAAAATCACAAAATATTAATATCCTACTCCTAATTTTTTTTAATACAGACTGAATATCAAATTTAGAGCACAACCGAAAAAAAACTAAAAACTGGTGAGGCCACTCAGGCCAGGTCAATAAAAGCAAAATTAAATTAAAATATTGCATAAAAAGAGTAACTTTTCATGTATACTAGTATAATATTAAACGGATGGTCCCAAGGTAATATGACCACAGCCAAGTCTCCAGTTGAATTTTAATATTCAAACTTTTTCGTTTTATTATTTGCTTAAATATCATAAGATATACTTGTATTTATAAAATCTTAAATATCAAGATTTGATCCTAAAATTGATTGATCGATTGTTATAAATAAATAAATGGAGGCAAGTTTTGTTTCAAAATTTTATATGAGAAGTCATAACTGTGGGCCGGTATTTTGGCCATGTGAGTTTTATATAAAGAGTACAACATACTATTATTTTTTTAAAAATATTAGTCATCTAATTGAGGATTCTAAAAATATTTTTCCATAAATTCAGTTTGTCACTCAACGGGCTCAGCCCGCCTGGGAATGCCTTCGACTTTTCTCATCACCAGCGTTAGCTGACTTTGGTGGCGGCGAAATCATCAATATGAATTCCTAATTCCTAAAGCAAACCAAATTACTGTAACAGTAGACGAAATACTCCATTTGCACAACAACTGGATTGGAGATGGACCCCTTTTGTTCATAATACACATGAAATGGTTTAAGCTGACGACTTTACAAATAGTATCAGTGCGGGAAGATTTTCAAGAGCCAAAGTGAAAATGGCACCAAGCACAAAAATCAAAATAAACGCAAACAATATCTTAACCAAGTATAGAAAGCTGATTGGCTTGGACACATTCCTTGTAGGAGGCAAGCGACCCGAAACCTAGAGGCAAGCCAACCGAATGAAGACACATAAGCAATAGCATTTGATTATCGCAAACATGAGGAAAATGTTGAAACACAGCATGTTCATGCAAGATTTTAAGAAAAAAATAAAACTCACTGGTGTAGGCATTGGAATTGGTTCAAAGTTATGTTCAATCATCACTTCATCTGCTTCTGTAAATGTCTGCAACTTCCAATCATCCCCGTAATTGACAAGAACAGAATTAGGGCCGAAAGCAATGGGCTCTTCGCCTTCTTTAACAGCTTCTATATGCAAAGCACGTGCACTCATTGGCTTCAACTTCCTATTAATCAAAGACACTGCAGATCCAGCATCGATTCCTGATGCAAATCGACGAGTCTTACCAGAACTTTTGCAGGTTACCTCCAAAAACTGTCCCACAAATGAAATCAATATTACAAATAAATGACTAAATACAAAGTAAAGCTGCACATACAAAATGGGAAAGAGAGCGCACCGTGGGAGGAAGTGGATGCCCTGGTGCTGTTTCTTCAGCCATCAATGGAGGAATGAGTTATCAGCCGGTTGCAGAGATGCAACTTCCAAATCCAAAGCTTCTTCCGAAAAGCTTAGGTCTGTGGTTTGGGCCCAGAGATCTGAGACTTTTTGACCGTTATGCTCAAAATTCCAATGCTTTTTCACCGTTTCGCTCCAAATTGTAATCCTCCATTCCCCATTCGCCCTGATCAACAATTAATTTGTTCCATCAAATTCTATTTGCTGAGTTTAAAATCTTTATATATAAATTAAAGTCTAACTATCTACAAGGATTAGAAGGAAAACTACAGTCAATAACACAAGGGTAAATGCAAACTCAACACTAAGTTGGGGATTTAGACTTTAGATGGCTACACCATAAACATCTAAAAGCGCAACAACCCAGCTCGTAGATTGTATGGAGCCTGAAAACAGAATCTGCAAATGAACATTTTCATTTAAATTTATTTTTATTTAAAAAAAAAATACATCAATGGTGCTTGGTAGAACATAATAGATGATAGGAATCAGTAGCTCACAATATCTAAATAACAGAAACAGATTTATATCAGATAACATAAAATAGGCAAATTAATTGCAAATTTTCAAAACCAGGCCAAATCATGGGTGCGACCTAATCAATAATACCGTTCAATCTGAGACGGAGTAATCGCAGAGAACACCGACGGCAGAGGATATGAGGCCAAGAAGCGACGGATGCACCGACTGTAGCCCACGAAGACGATGAGAATAACGGCTCGACGACGAAGTGAGGTGTACCCGATCAGAAGCTTCAAGCTCGGGTAGAATACGAGGGAGGAATAGGCCACTCATTTTCTAATTTCCTCGTTTTCTTCTTCTTGTCGTTGTTGGCTTCTTTTTTTCTTTTCTTTTTTTCTGTGATTGGGAATTTTTTATTTTTTTTGGGACTCAGATTGGGAATTTGAATATGGGATAGTATGAAAATTTAAAAGCAAAAATTTAATTACATAATCCAGGTCAGATCGTGGTAACCGGTAAGGGCTTCCAGCCGTGAAGCACGAAATCCGGTCTAACCCGTGCCCAGCCCAGTCTTGGCCGAATCTGCGAGATGATTTTTGAGGCCCAGACAAAAAAAAGCCCAGGCATTCTTTTATGAATAGGAAACACGAAATGGTGTACACAGCAACATTTGCGGACAAATAGGGAGGTAGATGGGTGGGAAAACTTGCTTTTATGCCATCAGGATGAGGATTTTAGGCCCTATATATGAAACTCCTGAGGGGAACAGACTTGTGCTTCTCAGTCTGATTAGATGCTAGCATATATGTAAATCGATAATAGAGACGATGAAATGCGCAGTTGCCTGATTATTCAAAATTTGTAGGTTATATGGCTGAAAAACCATTGTTAATTGAGCCGGTAGCTGGCTTTTCCAATCTGATTTTAACTGACTTATTGAATCATATGTGCCTGTTGAAGGAACAATTTTAATAATTTTGTAACTACGTGTTCAGTTTATTTTGTGCGAGTTTACGTGTTGAATTTCGTGTTAGATTTTTTAATTAAAAAAATGTGTTCATTAAAACCGTCAAACTTCTATGAACTTTGTTTACTGTTCCCTTTGATTAATGATAACATTAAATTGATGAGATATTGGTAACCTATCTCAAATTTTCAATCTCAAGATCTAAAATTGAGTATTTAAATAGTAATTAATTGGGTATCTCGTTTGATTTAATTATTCAAATCAATTTGTTGGGTTATAATCTAGATTGAGTTGTAATGAATCTTGTTAGATTGAGTTATAAATGCTAATTTTGTAGTAAGTAATCGTTTTTATTAAATGAGGTTTATCTCTAACGTCTTTTTTTTTGGGAAAATGACAATAAAATACCACCTGAATTCTAAAAAGACAAATAAGGGACCTGAATAAGCAAAATGACATATAGGGGATTGGGTACCAATTTGGAATTCAGATTTTTGGCCAAAAGACCAAAATGCCCTGTCTGAAATGAGAGAAAGGAGAGAGGAAGAAAGCGACGCAGTGAGAGAAATGAGAGAGGAAGACCGACGGTGATGAAATGCGGGAAGAAGGAAAGAAGGATGTTGGAAATGCTATTATCTTACTCCTTCGCATCACCTTTCTGTAGAGATTGTTGATTTGGTAGGTTTTGGTTGTGGGAAAGAGGATTTGTAGTGAGAGAGGGAGTGAACCTGCGGGGAAGATGAAGTGGAAATCAGAAAACAATGACAAGCAATTACGTTACGTAACTGCTGTCATATGTCTGCTGGTTTTTGGTAAATCCCACTACGTGAATGGTAAATCCCACTATGTGAATGGTAAATTTTACTATACATGTAGTTAATTATGAATTTTACAAAATACATATTGTGATTTACAACTTTTGTAGTGAAAGTGACTACTTTGTTAATGGGTTTTGCAACCTGTTTTCAGGAGATAAACAACTTGTTTGTAAAAACTAATAAAATTTCACGCTAAATTTGACAAAACGTATAGTGGGATTTACAACTTTCGTAGTAAAAATGACCACTTATTCAATGGGTTTTGTAACTTGTTTTCAGGAGATGGACAGCTTGTTTCTAAAAACTAATAAAATTTCATACTAAATTTGACAAAACACATAGTGAGATTTACAACTTTCGTAGTGAAAATGATCACTTCTTCAATAGGTTTTGTAATATGTTTTCAAGGGATTGGCAACTTGTTTCTAAAAATCAATAAAATTCTATGCTGAATTTTACAAAACATAGAGTAATATTTACAACTTTTGTAGTGAAAATTACCACTTCTTAAATGAATTTTGCAACTTCTTTTCATGGGATGAGCAACTTGTTTCTAAAAATCAATAAAATTTCACGCTGAATTTGACAAAACACATAGTGAGATTTACAACTTTCATAATGAAAATGATCACTTCTTCAATGGGTTTTGCAACATGTTTTCAAGGGATTGGCAACTTTTTATAAAAACCAATAAAATTATATGCTGAATTTTACAAAACATGTAGTGAGATTTACAACTTTCTTAGTGAAAATGATCACTTCTTAAATGGGTTTTGCAACCTCTTTTCAGGGGATGAGCAACTTGTTTCTAAAAACCAATAAAATTTCACACTGAATTTTACAAAACACACAGTGAGATTTACAACTTTTATAGTGAAAATGACTACTTCTTAAATAGCTTTTGTAACCTGTTTTCAGGGGATAGGTAACTTGTTTCTAAAAACCAATAAAATTTCACGTTGAATTTTATAAAACATATGCTAGGATTTACAACTTTTGTGATAAAAGTGACCGCTTTGTTAATAGATTTTGCAACATATTTTCGGGGGATGAGTAACTTACTTTTCACCACCAATAAAATTTCACGCTGAATTTTACAAAACACATAATGGGATTTACAACTTTTATAGTGAAAATGACCACTTTTTCAATGGGTTTTGTAAACCTGTTTTCACCGGAAGAGCAACTTGTAAGTATAAATAAATCATTCAGCGAACGTGCACCTGAAGTACATCACAATAAACATTGAACTATTAAGTTTCATAATTAACTACATGTATATTAAAATTTACCATTAACGAAATGAGATTTACCATTCACGGAATGGGATTTACCAAAAACCAGCAAACATATGACAGCAATTACATTACGTAATTGCTTGCGACTATTTTCTGATTTCTGCTTCATCATTCACCAAATACTGAATATGAACCCTCAAATGCAATAATCTTGTTCCTATTTCACCATGAAACAGCCACAAAAATGAATAATCCAAATCCCGCCATCAACTTCTACTCACTCATGAATAATTAAAATACTTCAGCGACCTCTTCGACGACAACAATTTCAGGGGTACAAGTTATTTCAGACAGGGTAATGTATTTCAGCGATGGTAACCAAATTCAGCGATGGCAATCTACTCCTACGACGACGGCAACGTGATTTCGAAAAATCCTTTTTGGTGACTGCAGGAACTTGGATTTAGTTTCGTAGAAGGAAATCAGTTTCTCCCTTTCTCTATCGCATGAATACACTGCTCAATGTTCAGAGACAATCAGGGCAATTCAGTCTTTTGGCCGAAAATCTATATTCCAAATTGGTACCCAGTACCCTATTTGTCATTTTGCTTATTCAGGTCCCTTATTTGTCTTTTTGGAATTCAGGTGGTATTTTATTGTCATTTTCCCTTTTTTTTTTTTTTCCTTCAGAGCAGGAAAGCTGTAAGACCGTTGATTGAAAGATACTTTTGCCCATTCATCAAGGGGGGGGGGGAAATCCTTTTCCCCGCATTGCTTGATAGTTGATTGAAAGAAAACTATCAACAAGGACAGTTAGCAATTTAATTAAATAGAGAAATCAGCGAGGGATTTAATAACGATTACGGTGCAGAAATGATTTTTTTGTTTTTCTGGGATTGAGGGTTCAGGACGATGTTATGATCACAAAGAAGTACTAGAATAGCAGAAGATAAAACTTCTATTAATGTTTGAGCTCAACATACACCTCAACAATAATCATCATATCGGTATTCATCAGAAAGAAACAATGCAAGAAATATAAGAGGAGGATAACAAATGCAGAACGGAAATGTAAAAGGGAAAAAGAGCCAGGAGAGAGAACCACAGAGACGAAGAGATTCCAAAATGCCAATCACGCCCACTCATAACCGTATTTGTCTTATTATATAGAATCCTCCAATTCCCTCAGCTTCCGGGTCTTACGCCCACTCATATGCTCATTGGGCCATGGGCCCCAGATGGATCCCGCACTCGTGTTGGGTCGTCTGGACCCTTGTGCATGACAGACGAACTGTACCATAAATCATTGTGTCGCTGCGCTTGGGAAATTTCGTTGACTGTATTTATTTGGGGTACTTTTGAAAGCCGAGGCCAATGGATGTGACTGTGAATGCACGATTGGACCGACCGACCGACAGTGAGAGGCATGAATTTTGATATGGCAAATTATATGAGCCTTTTTTGCTCTCAGATTCTCAACTATAATTGAGTGGGAATTACGTTACAGCTAAAACCCACAGCTGGCTCTTCTGGCCAGGACGAACAAATTGAAAGGCGCAAAAAGCACAGCCACATTTGGAACCTTCGTAATCTCAATCTCTTCTTCCCTATTCATTTTCCGCTTTTGGTAAAGTGAGTTTTACGTCTATAAGACATGTTTTTATACTGATCGCTTTTTGTTGAAGCAAACTGTTTAACGGCTGTTATTCGTGCGCTGTGCCCCATTCATAGAGGCTGGCAATATGAGAATTCGAGAGAGTTGTCGTAATCCATGAACGTACAACATATAATCTTCTCCTCAACGTTTGAGGGTTTATGATCTTCTAGTGTCGTCTTCTTCTCCTCCCTCAGCTCGGCCACCACACAACAAAATGTCCCAAGAAGTTCGCTTCATCATATATGGACTTCAATTCTCTCCACTTATATTCACACCATTTGCTTCTCACCCAGCATAACTGTTTCTAATGGCAACCTTCTTCAAACCTCTACCCAGAAAAGTTTCGGTCTTCCTCAACATATCCTTTCTCTTGATTCTCTCTCTCTTTCTCAAATCCTATCTCTACCCCTCCTATTCCAATTCTCATCATGAATCATCCAATAATTCCCCTTCCATTTTCAACCGCCACACTCGGATCCTCCAGGAGATCACGCCAGATTCATGCACAGGTCTTCATGAGCTCTCAGATTATAGATCAAAGTGCTTGTACGTCAAAACCCATTCTGAGTGCAGGTCAAAAGGCTACATAAACTATCTCTATATCTTTTACTGCAACCTTGGCCAATCACCAATCATGGGTCATTTTTTGCTTATATTATGGCTTGCGGTGTTGTTCTACCTCTTGGGCGACACTGCTTCTAATTACTTCTGCTACTCCTTGGAGAGTCTGTCCAATATCTTGAAGTTGTCTCCCACCATAGCAGGAGTCACTTTGCTTTCTCTGGGAAATGGAGCTCCTGACTTTTTTGCAAGTGTTGTTTCCTTCACAAGATCCAGCAATGGTGCAGTTGGGCTTAACAGCATTCTTGGAGGGGCATTTTTCGTCTCAAGTACTGTCTTGGGGATTATAAGTATTCTGGTTAGCACAAAGCAGATTGCAGTTGACAAGGCCAGTTTCATTAGAGATGTTCTGTTCTTCCTTTTCTCTCTGCTCGTCCTCCTTCTCATCATTTCCATTGGCAAAATTACCTTGTTGGGCTCAATCTGCTATGTCTCCATCTACTTCCTTTATGTCTGTGCAGTCTCTGCCACACATTTTATCTATGGAGGGGAGAAGAAAGAAAACGAATGCTTTGCTATATCTGCTGATGATCTTGTAGAGTCTGGCATACCATTGTTAGGCTGCGTTGATGATGAGAAACCAAGTTTAGCAGAGAAAGTGGCTGCAGAAGATAACAAAGAAAAGCCAGAGTGTTTTGAGGGCGCTTCATTTAAATGGAATTATTACATGGGCAAATTTCTACAAGTGCTAGAACTACCTCTCAGCTTGCCAAGAAAACTCACCATACCAGTTGTGAATGAAGAGAGATGGTCAAAGCCATATGCAGTAATATCTGTCACATTAGCACCAGTTCTGATAGCACTTATCTGTAACACCCAGAAGGAAAATGAGGATTCTAGGACCATTCTGGTCACATACTTAATAGCTGCTCTGATTGGGGTGTTTCTGGGAAATATGGCCTGTGTGACCACAAACAGCACTAGCCCCCCAACAATGTGCCTATTTCCTTGGCTAGCAGGAGGTTTTGCCATGAGTGTGACATGGACATATATTATCGCTGAGGAATTGGTTTCCTTGTTAGTTTCAATTGGGAATATAATTGGGGTTAGTCCTTCAATTCTTGGGTTAACAGTCCTAGCTTGGGGTAACTCTCTTGGGGATCTAATAGCCAATGGTGCTATGGCAGTTAATGGTGGGGTAGATGGGGCTCAAATAGCTATATCCGGGTGTTATGCGGGTCCCATGTTTAACACTTTGATGGGTTTGGGATTTCCTTTGGTTCTTTCAGCTTGGTCTGAGTATCCAAATCCATATGTAATCCCTAAGGACCGTTCTCTCTACGAGACTCTTATGTTCTCGATGGGAGGGTTGTTGTGGGCCCTTGTGGTGTTGCCAAAGAGAAACATGAGGCTAGATAAGTTCTTGGGATCGGGACTCTTGATCATATACCTTTGTTTCCTTTTCATAAGGATGGCAATGGCAATTGGTATTGTGAAGTTCTAGAGATGCCCCTTCTTCAAAAAGGAAAAAACTCACATCATGTGATACGTTTCACATTCAATAGGTACAATTGTAAATTTGATCCTTCTTTTTTTTGGGGCATTATTAGCAGTTTCTATTTGATGAGCGGTAGGCTAGCTTCAAAAGAGAGTGGAAAAGCCATCAGTGATCCCGTGTTGTTTAGAACTTTGAACATGGGCACACTCTAATTTTCTATATCTCGTCTTTGTTGCTTAGGGCACACGAATCCTAGGCCTGGGCCTTGTTGTCTTAGATTATTATTATTTTTGTTGCTGCCATATTCGAGTGATCTTTTATTTTATTTATGTAATTTACTAATTAGTTCGATTCAAATGTGGTTGAAATGACTGTATAGTTGGCGCATTTGCGTTTTTGCCCTGACCATGCTTATAATCCAAGTATTTATTCACACATTTACTTATTTCAATTTTAAAAGGAAGAACATATCACTTTTTCCTTGTCGTTTTTCCTTTTTCTAGACCTCAACAGAGAATCCCGTCCATCTTTCTTAGTTGGGACCCTTGGGGTAATCATTTCAATATTGCTCAGCTGCTAGATTTTTTCATCGAATGTGAAACGGATCATTCAGGTTTCAACTTGCAATCGGTTACTAGATACTGTTGGACGAATGGAGATAGCTTGCGAAAAGAAGCAAGGCATGGGAATGGGGTCCATTTAAGAAAAGCAAATAAGCACAAAAGTGGTCGGAGCCCACGTTTTGTACCGACATTATTCCTTCCGGTTGAACTGCTACGCCCTGAGCTCAAAAAAAGCCATTAACCATGTTACTTGAAATTACTAAGAATCAAATAAGAACTCAAAAACCAACGAAAATTAGATCTAATAGAAGGGGCTAATCTCTCATAACGTGATAAACCAAGGTTTGAATCACTGCAGGGAAAAGTGCACACATTTAATACCCGACAGTGCCTCGAATGGGATTGCCTTCAATAGAAGGATATCTATACTTTAGAAAAAAAAAAAAAACTCAAAAGGTTTAGGATGAGATCATAAATTCAAAAAAAAGAAAAGGAATCATGCTCTGGTGAGAATAATTTAAATTTGTTTAGATATATTAAACAATTTTAAACTCCTAACCAACTTAATCATAATTAATATTAATAGTGAAAGACTACTCGTTACAACTGTTGGCAAAAAAAAGCGTCACAACCAATTTTTCAATTCAATTTTAATATTTTAGTTTTTATTTTAGCATTTTCTTAAATATAATGTTCCTGGTCAAAAAGAAAATATGACGACATATAATTATATTTATGACAAAAACTAATTGTTAGGATTTGATAAAAAAAATTGACCATAATAAATATAAATAACGAACTTAAATTTTAATTATTCACAACAATGAGTTTATACTCTGGATATGTGAGTTATATTAAAAAAAATTATTGGCCAATGCTTTATTTTCTACCAATCACATTTGTTTATCAACAGGCCGAACCTGATTGACACTAAATTAATTTTAATATTTTTAACGGCATGTTTACTAAAATTTCAGAGCATTGATTCATAACATGCATGCTACATACAAAAAAATCCAATTTATATTTTATAATATTTTTAAATTAAAATCTTCAGGCCAAACAAATTAAATCAATTTTTTAATAATATAATATTTTTAGTTTATTATTTAAATTTATTAAAAAATATATTTTTAAAATAAATAGCATCATAATATTTAGGAAAAATCACAAGAAAAGATCACCAAAATAAAAAAATTGTAAATAGGGATCTGTTGCAACATTAGTATGTGTTTTACAATAATAGATATAGTATCAATTTTGACAACAATTTTTATGAATAAGTCCTTATGTGCAATTTTTTAATTTTAGAGGTCTTTTTTTTATCATTTTTCCTACTATTTATTCTAAATTTTCTGTAAATAATTTTTATCTATTAAATATAAACAAAAACAGGTTTTACCTCCGCCTGCAGTGCCCATTTCGACCCCATGACCCGACGGATCTGGCTTTCCCCGCCAGTCCTTTCCCCCACCCCCTTCAACCAACATCCTTCGGCAGTATTATCCAATATCTTAGAATAATTTTTAATACAGTATCCGAAAATATTTTTTAGTAGCATCCTATATTAAAATGGCTGGTATCTTAAACTAATTTTTAATACACCTAATATTCTAAAATAATAGTGCACATGGCACCCAAAATTATTTTTTAATAGCACCTAGTATTTAGCAGGCTGCACTTTAAATTGTTTTTTAGTAACATCAACTATCTTAAACTAATTTTTATTGCATCTAATATAGCAATAACCTACATTATTTTTCTAGCACTAATATCTAATGTCCTAAAATTAGTTTAGAATATTGTGTGCTACTAAAACAAATGCTACAAGTCCAACTTACTAAATACTAGATATACTGGATACTATTGAAGAAATATTTCATGATGTTAAATACACTAAAAATTATTTTAAAATATTAAATATTATTAAAAAAATTTTAGAGCAATAGATATTAATTTAAAATAAAAAGAAGGGCAGCCTCTATTTTCACATCAAAACGGTGTAGTTATGAGTCAAGGAGGAGGAGAGGATGGTAAGGATAAAGGAGGAAAAGTGGTTTAATGTTGGTGTGTTCTTCACTTAAAAAGGAGGAGAATTGACCACAACCCATATATGAGTCTAAGGGCGTACATGAACCCTAGATGCCTGTTGAACCCACCCGAACCCAAAGAAAGATTGTCCAGCCCAATTTGAAAAAAAAAAAAAAAAAAGAACCCGAAAAAGAATGGGCATCTTTTGGGCTGGGCATCGGGCAGGGCAACATCATTTGGCCCTGCCTGGATTATATATATATTATAATTTATGAAATAATATTAATATATTACATTTCTTTATCCAAAAAAAGGTTATCTCCCTCCTCTTTGCAATTTAATTTATTAGTGTCACATGTCTATTAGTTTTTCATTTAGGGGATCTAATGCTTCTAAAAAAGCAATAGTATCTTGCTTTTAATTTGTTCTTCATGAACCTTACTGGGTATATCCTATTGTGTGTTGCTGTTGTAATGTTGGCCATTTATAATTCAATCTTCCCTCTATGTTATTAACAACTTTCTTTGTTAGATAATGGAGTTTATACATTACATATTTGTATAAATCAACAATTTTGAATATTTATACAAGATAGAAAACAAGATTGGGATAGAAGCAGAGAAATAACATTAGGGCCTGATTATCTGAATTACATGTTTTATTTTTTATTTAATTTATATTTAGTTATTTTGCATTAATTTTTTATAAACAAGTCATATGATGGAAAGAAGTCATTTAGTTGTACGGACTGCTAACTGCATTGTATCACATAATAAGTGTTTACATATTAAAAGTGGTTATATTAAATTATTATAAGATTATAAGATTTTTGATTTTTCTTTTTACAATTATTTTTACCCTCTTTTTATATGGGCTATATTATTCCTGTTAGCTCATTGCTTCAATTTTAATACCTTTTTGCAATCCTTTAGGTAACATTTAATTTTTGTCACTTGGATGGATAATCAAGTTTATATTACATCGCCATCCCCCGCCCTCGATGGAATATCTCCACGTGCTTCAACCGCTCTTCAATTTTTTCAAATGTTTTATTCTTTTCTCAACTTTCTGGAGATTGATGCAAACTGTTTGAATTTCATGGCTCTAATTGTAACATCCTAAGTTTTATTTTGAGTTTTGGTAGCCTTTTTTGATTGATTTTGAGGATAGGCTAGTGTTTAAACTTGAATCTTGGTGTCTAGTTTGGAATCAAAGTGAGTTGGAGGAACAGGTGAACAAATCCCTCTTAGGATTTGTTCGCCACGGTGAATCGAAGATTATTGGGAGAACTTCCTTTCGCCATGGTGAAGTTAAGGGGGACGCCACGATGAAAGTTGGTCAAGTGAGTAAGAGTTCCTCTTGGGAAAAATCTCGCACTGCGACGAAGTATAAGTTGGCCTCGACAAGGTTGGTTTTCCAAGTCAGAAAAATCCCTCTCGGGGTTAGTTAGTCGGGACAAATCCATGTGTTCGCCGTGAAGAAAAGTTCGCATCTTTAAATTCGAAGGAAGAGTCTGATGCGCGAAAATCAGATTTTCTGAAGGTGGGAGTTGGAGCTCTGCTAGGGCTCGTATTTTTGGCTTGGGGAAGATGTTTCTACGGGTCCATTATCTCAAGTAAGTGAATCTAACCTCTAATCTACTCTTTCTCTTGGGATTTTTAAGGAATTTTGTAGTGGAACCCTAGGACTTTCTAGTTTTTGATGGAATTGAGATTTTTGACCGATTATTTTGAGTTTTAAATGATTGCTATGGGTCAGTCTAAGTATTTAATTTGTGCAATTTTCTTGGATTTGGAGATTTTGAAGTTTTGGGAATTTAGGGCTTGTAAAAATGGATGTTTATGATTGAGAATGATAATGTAGTGGTTAAAATTGAGTTTTATGAATTTGGTTATGTTAAGGAGGGTTGAATTGGATGTTTAATTAGTTTAGAATGTTGTTAAAACTCCAATTGTTCTAATTGGGTGTCTGGGTGATGATTTCTAGAGTGGGACTTTGAGTTTGTGAATTCAATTGATATTTTGGAAGGGGAACTAGAGTAATAATGGTCTCTTGTGGTTTTTGGAGTGTTATTATGATGGTTTGGCCCTTGTGAGTTAGGTAGAGTTTTGGTTGAGACTAAGAATTTTGAGTCCTCAAGTGTTGTGTTGGCCATTTTATTAGTTTGTTAACTAATACATGGTGGTTATGCATTTGTGTGCTTGTGTAGACTTGTTGAGTATTTTGTTGGTGCACAGGGCATCATGGTGTTTTGTTATTCTTTGCTCAAGCGAGAGGTAACCACTTTCCAATCCTTTGTACATGCTGTTATGATACTGTTAGTGGATTTATGTTTTCATGCTCTGAGTAATAAATGGTGTTCTAAATGTAATTTATATATGAAAAGAGAAATTGTCTTGTGGGGTTTTGCATGGATTTAAAGTATTGGAAGATATGTCACTTGTTGAAGTTGTTTATGAAATGCGAACTCATTCTTTGGTAATACTTGAGCATGATTTATGCATTGGGAAATAGTGAGAGACTTGGTTGATACTACCACGTTGTAAGGTCTCTATTAATGCATGATGGTTAGCTCCTTACATCCCTCATAGTGAGAGATAAGCCTTTTGGCTCCTTACATCTCCATAGTGAGGGATAGGCCTTTTGGCTCCTTACATCTCCCATAGTGAGGGATGGGCCGAGTTCGGCTCTTGAAAATCCCCCAAAG